AAACCCCATCAACGTAAGGTAGTGGGAAGAATTTGGTTAATCTCTCTTCTTCTACCTGCCGTATTGCGGCTCGACCGTGCGGGAGAACCCTGCAGCGACAAGACTATTGGGTCTCGGCAGCTGTTTGAGTCTCAACATAAGGCTACACTGCCTGGGTGTGATCAAGTTCTTTTTCTTTCCAAGCGTCTCTTGGAATGCGTTTGTTAACAATTCCTATGCCGCCCATGGGGTGGCGAGCTACAGTTGCTCTGGCTTGGGACTAGCTCACTCTAGTGAGCAGTGGGGGACTCTAGTGGCCGGTGTCTGTCTTTTCCAGGCAAGGCATCGATCTGTTATCCCAGTTTTCTTTAGGACAATTGTACTATCGCGGCCTTGACGCACAATTTACGAAGAATCCATATTTAAAGGAACCCACGCAGTGCAGAGAGCATCCACATGAAGTTCCGTCATCCTCTCCCATCCAGGGGGAGGGGTTTCTCTAGCAAGCTGCTTCGGAATGGTACCCCTGTGAACGAAGACTTCCGCCTCAGACCTCATTGTCTGCGAGGTTGCAGTCCTGGGGGTATATTACAAGTAAAGAGAAACTTCCAGCTTAGGCCAGAAATATGTTCTATATCCCCCTCAAAATGAGGGAGATGGACTCTCCTTGAGAAGAATACTTTCCAAGGGCCCGGGTCTCTTGCAGTTAATTCCGAGTAACTTCCCTCTTCTCCGGGGTCACTTTACACATCAAAGGGTGTGCAAATGGCTGGGCATTGTTCTCCAGAAGAGTAGAAGGGGGGGAATTCTTGAGGTGGGAGGAGGAGAAGGCAATTCTCTCTCGCTCTCCAGTTTTTTTCCATGAGCCTTCCTGCAGGGCTGGTTCAGCCCAGGGTTTGTTGGTTGCCAGCTCCAGGTGCAATCAACTTTGACTCCGATTTTTGGAGTTGGGATGATATGGCCCAATGGCCCTCTCAAAAAGGCCTCATGCCATCCCCTATGATTCCAAGTCCCCACCACGGTTGCACGGGATGTCCTCCGGGACATTTCTTTGGGAACAGGGCTGGAGGTGGCAACCGTGCAAGTGACCAAATTTTTTATTTATTTATTTATTTATTTTTTTCAATTATTCTGAACGACTCAGCTAGATTTGGGGAGTTGTCACACATGGGAAATGCAGGACTCCCGTCCATCAATGAAGACCTCCTTTGAAATAATCAAGATTTTCCAAAGGCACGAACTGTAATCAAGTGAGCGGTTTCACCTATTCCTCCCAAGGCTTCCGTGGCACGCAACGTGCGGCCTTAATGCCAGATTTGGTAAGGTTAGGGCCGGAGGGGAATGCGCTTACGTCCTTAGCCTACCCATGGGGCAGGGTTGATTTTCTCCCTCTTAGGCGGTCTGGGAGTGGGACGCTTAGGGCGGTAATGGCCTGCCGCGTTAAGGGAGCCGTGCACCGGCGACCTGGGCCTCTTCCTTCCCCCCTCTTTCCGGCCCATCTCCTCCCTAGCTTGCCTTAAAGGGACATGGCCTCAGGGCTCAGGGACAGGGGGCCGCGAGCGGGTACATCACCACTTTGCTCCTCTCCATCGTCGTCCTCCTCCTCCTCATGGTGGTGCTGGCGTCCCGGGGGCTCGCTGCTGATGCCGAGCCATACAGGCGCTCATGGGCCGTAGCCGAGCGAAAGGGGCGCCCATTTTGCGTTAGCGGGCGAATTTGGTGGGGATTGGCAGATGGAACTGCCCCCCGTATAGCTCCCGTGCCGCTGTGGAGCTTGTAGAGCGCCCATTAGCCTTGCCGGGCGATTTCGGCGGGGAAAGGCAGCCAGCGGTGCCCCCCGAATCGTGAGCGCCCATTAGCATTGCCGGGCGATTTCGGTGGGGAAGGCAGCCAACGTTTTCAATATGGCCCCCGCGACTTCCGCGGCGGCGGCCGGCGATCTCCTTGCTGCCCCCTTCGTGCTCCAAGTCGTCGGAGGCTTCCCGGCGCTGTGCTGCGCCGCGTGCTTCTCCTTCCCGGGCCTAGTGCGGCCGCTCTGGAAGGTTAGAAAGCCGTCGTCCTCTTCCCGGTCCATCCTTTGTTCAGTCGGACCACGTGTATCACTGGCTCGCGGCGCTCGCGGCCAGGGGCAGAGCACTGCAGCGGAGCTGTTGAAGAGCGGGTCATTGAAGAAAAGTGTCATCACTACAGAAACATCAACAGAAATGTTGCAGTCCTTCTTAGGAAAACCAAAAGAAACAGCATTCAAAATTGTACTGATACTGAGGTAATGTTGTGGACTAAACAGAATCAGCTGCTGAGAAGCCAATTTTACCAGCTGATTTTCTGACCCAGACACACGCATATGATTCCATCCCCAAAATGAAATCAGAGTTCAGTCAAGAAACTGAAGAACAGATTCAATCTCCAGAAAGAAGCCCCTTTTTGATGCATATAGAATATCAAAAAGGTGATGTTCAGACTGTGACTATAGTCTCAGTAGCAAAATTGTGCTTCAAATCATTGCTGTTGATAAACTGGAGAAAATGGAAGAGACAGCATCTCTGTCAAGTCAGGTGTGTGAAAATAAATCTGAAATTCAGGAAAGCCTACACACTGATCAGCAGCTGCTTTCTGTGAACGTAGAGAAGTGGAGATTCTCTCATTGCCAGAGGGGGGAATTGTGGAACAAACAGCAGCCAACTGAAAGTTCTGTATGGTGATTGAAGCCATGTAATAATGCATATTTTCCCAATTTACCCTACTTTGTTCTCCCTACACAAAATCAGCACCCAGTGCCTATTCTATAGGTGAGTGTGCAAAGCTCTTTAATGCTGCTGCATGCTGTATTTCTGAAAAACATATCCTATGTGCCTTGAGTCACAGGTTCCTTCAGGCACAAAACATAATTTAATATATAGTCAAAAATGACAGTGGCTGTGAAGTGGTGCTTTAGGCTGCTTACAAGGCTCTGCACAGGAAGAAGGTCCTCCCCCTACTACAAGCTGGTTTGAAGAGAATGTAAGAGAAGGGGAGTTGAATTCCAGTGAATGAATGGCCCAGCCAGCGCTCATGATTTTTCTTTGTATGCAGGTGAAGAATGTCCTGGATGAGATTTTGGAGAAGTTGCCGGAGGAGTATAACATGATTGACATAATGCAGAAGTCTGCTGCTCGAACCCCCTATATACTTGTCTGTTTCCAAGAATGTGAGAGGATGAACATTCTTGTTCGAGAGATATGGAGGTCACTTAAACAACTAGACCTCGGTCTGAAAGTAAGAGAAATTATTTATGAGTAAACTAGATATGAAAAAATTAATTAGTTGGGAAAGGGAGTCTATGAACTTAAATAATTTGGTTTTCTACAAACATCTAGGGGGAACTTACATTTTCTCCTGCCATGGAAGCTCTGCAGTCAGCCCTGTTTTTTGATGTGGTGCCAGACACTTGGTGCAAACTGGCTTACCCTTCCACATACAGCCTTCCGCAATGGTAAGTCTCCCGTGTTTATCAAATTTAAAAAGTGGTTCTAACACTATACAGTACTGCATGTTTGAAAAACAGGGCCTTTGACTTTCAATTATCACATCATTAACGTACCTTGTTAAACATGGTAGTTTGCTGGCAACTGCTGAATAGCTACTGCATCCCCTAAAAGACACAGGGAAAGAATTTAAAAATTCTGCTAAGCTTTTCCCTTTATTCCATAGGATTTTTCTCAGTGCTGCTTAGCTAATAGCTTCATTTCTAGCATTCTTCCGTATCTATATTGTTTCCAGGACAGAACAAGGTAATACTGAGAAGTAGCTCAAGACATTTTTATTAAGTAGCTCTCATTAAAAAGAAAGTAGGTGGCCTCTGCTCCATACATTTTTCAAGACATGTTTAAAGTTATGTACAACAGCTGGCAAATTAGCAGTGTCACTATTCACTTTTTCACTGGCCAGTCCAACTGATGCTTTCTAATTATCCTGTTCCTATCCACCTACAAACTACAGTGTTTATCATACATAATCATAATAATTCAATTTAAAATTATTCTAAAAATATCACTTAGTGGGTGTTAGTCTTAATGCATCTACTGTTTCTTCCTCAGGTTTAATGATCTCCTTCTGCGATGCAGAGAACTTGACACTTGGACACAAGATCTTGTGCTTCCTGCAGTAGTGTGGCTTTCTGGCTTCTTCAACCCTCAGTCCTTTTTGACTGGTATGTCATACTAGCTCTGATAGCTATGATTTTTATGTAATGTTTTAACTCGGCATCATGTTTTGAAGAACACTAATACTGTAGGTGCCCAAATGAGTGCCTGTAGTAAATTCTTTTGCCCTAAGACTAAGATCCTGAAAATGTAAGTGCATGTGAGTGATTAAAACAATGTTGATCAGGGTTAATTGTCTAGGAGAACCAGAAGCTGCAGCATTGTTCTAGCTAAGCAGATGCAAGCCTGATCCGTACCTCGGTGAGACCACAGTGAGCCCATTATTTGCTAAAAGCTAATGGAAGTATAAATAATTTTTTAAAAAACAACTCACATGAAAGATCAGTCCTATTGAGATAAATGTATTTCCACAGTCCAGCAGAGCTGAGAGTTGATCTCCGTACACTGCATGAATGCCTGTGCATTAGAGTGCAGAACAGTCTGTGGTGGAACCGTACGGTTACTCCTTCGTCTGGGGAAGAGGCATTACTTCTACAGCATTTTTTGTAGAACAAAACTTGTGACTCAAGAAACAATGGGGCAACATTTTTGAGAAAGTGTGGTTTTATTCGAGTACGGTTGGGGAAAAAAACTATTTATTCTTTTACAATTAATCATTTGTTCTTACATACACAATTTATTCACATACTAACACTTTCTTTTTGAAAGCCATTATGCAAAGCACGGCACGAAGGAGCAACTGGTCTCTGGACAAGATGTGCCTAACAGCAGATGTTACCAAAAAGAGTAGAGATGATTATGGTCACCCACCAAGGGAAGGAGCATATATTTTTGGACTTTTTATGGAAGGTAAATATATATATAAATATATTAAAGTTACTTGGCATCACTGACCTGATACTGAAATTCAGATTTAGCTGGGAGAACAAGATTGCATTTAGGAGAACAAGACTGTGTACTACTGTCTTGTTATTACTATACTCACTGATATTATGACTAAACTTGTCATTTCCACCAATTACCCCTCCCCACTGCAGACCCCCGTCACACTGTTCCTGAGTTTCACCTAACCCTTGGGGGGTGGTTTCCATTTCTAGATCCATCCCATAACAATATACTGGTTGCAAAGGATTTCCCTGACAAACCATACAATTCTCCCGCTCCCAGCATAAACAGAAGCTAAATCTGAACTCTGTGAGTCAGAGCTTGCCTAGAGTTATGCAGGCTGTATTTACTGCACACTCAAAAATAACCTGACAGATAAATTTCATTAATGGTATTCTCGCTTGAGCTATCCATGAATATCTATTGTTATGCAACTAACAGCAACTGTGTGCATGCATGTGTCTCTGGTTACAGGAGCAAGATGGGATATCCAAACAGGAGCCATCGCTGAAGCACGTCTGAAGGACCTGACTTCCATCATGCCAGTAATCTTTGTAAGAGCAATTCCAGTGGACAGGCAAGAAACCAAGCACATTTATAAATGCCCAGTATATAAAACTAAAAATAGAGGGCCCACTTATGTATGGACTTTTAACCTGAAAACCAAAGAAAAACCAGCCAAGTGGGTGCTTGCAGGAGTAGCCTTGCTCCTAGCAGTTTAGCACTTTAGCACATCTCTTATCAATCCCAGCCTTCGCAGTGCAAGGCATACTAGGAGAGCTCTGCTCCCATTTAACCATAACATAGACATTATGTCAAAATGTTCCATCTTAGTATTATAAAAAGTCCTCAGGATGCTGTAGTTCTGGGGGACGGGGGAGCCATGCATCTCTAATGCAAAATACAAAAATACATAAGCAGCTGCCTTTAAAAGTCCAAACTAGATAAGTATTTATGGTATTCAACTCTGTATGTAACTTCTATCTCAAAAATAGCCCAAAGCAACATTTTTTTCTTTTAAATGTAGGTGTCTTGAAAAATGTTTCTCTTGCTCATTATAGCATCAGCATTTTAAAATATCAAAATAAAGCTTAATTTAAATACTCCAGTGTATAAAGTAATCTTATTACCCCTGCTAACTAGCTGCAACAGCCAATACGTTGCATATGGGAATCAGATTCGCCACAGCATGAGTAACGTGCCCAGCCTCTGGTCTCTTGGCCACTGTAGGTTTGTTTCAGATTCTGAGGCTGCTTCATAAACAGTACATTAACACAGATGTGAAGCTTCCAGTTTATGTAACATCAGAATATTTGGACACAGTTCAGTTTTGCTGTCAAGGCACATGATATTTACAGTCAACTGAACTACTCAAAATGTTGGCAGTGGTCAAATCACGTGTAAGGATTTCTGTGCACTGTACAATGGAAGAGATGGTTAGTGCTGTGAAGAAGGCAGAATAAGACTGCAGAATAAGTCTGCAAGTCAGGGAAGTAAGCACAAAAAGTACCAACAAAAATTCCTGTTACACTATTTTAATTTAAATATAATTTTGGTGGGATTTTGTTTAATTCAGATGCCAGAAGAGAAAATTGCTGGGGTTAAGGAAGAATGTAACCTGTAGGATGCTGGGACAATGAAATTCTCTCAGTGCTAATAAAATACTACTCCAAGTGTTAAATTTGTAAAATCTAAGACATTGGTTTAAAATATTTCTAAAGCAATTGAGAGTAGCTCTTTGATACTCTGCAGTTCTGTTGAAAATCAGCTATTCACAGCTGGTCTCTGTTCCTAAGCAGCACAGTCCAGTACAGGCTCTGCTGAAATGAATGGAAGCCATATTAAACTCCATTCATTTTTGTCAAGAGCTTCACAGAAATAAATTCCCAGTGTATTGTGGCAAAATGAATGTATAACATGTAGATTCCTTTTAACCAATGTTTTCCTGAAAAATACCTGTAACACATTCAGCATCAGTTTTTTTAAAAAAGCAACCAAATTACTTCTATCTACATTTCTATATTTTACAAACATAAATGTAATGAAATTTTAAAATCTCAAACTCTGATTTAAAACAGTAAAAAATAAAGTTGACAAATTATAAGTGTTGCACAGCTACTTCCAGTATCTTCAGTCGTCCTCAGCAAGTTGCTTTTGCAAGCTAGAAAAAAGAAGTAAAGAGGTACCAATAGCAACACAGAACATGACAGATTATTTCATGCTATACCAGACAAACATGTTGGTCACGGCTCTTCATCATGAAACAGCCACACATAAACCAGCCTATTTTTTAAAAATGAGGCTATTTTAAAAAATATAGTAGAATTCAACACACACAACAATTTGCTGTCAGAAGTCCAGATAAAAAGGACTCATAGCGTATTATACATTAAAACTTTTTTACGGAACATAACCATAATTTGTATGCAAATGTAAGATGAGCCTCTCTTTTTTTTGATCGCATACCTTAAACAAACCCAGTCTTGCACTGGAGTAAATACTGTAATTACATATGGGATGGCTACATACAGTATGGAAAAACTACAGGGAGGACTAATAATTAATGCTCATCTTCCCTATACTGGCTGCAACTGCCAAAGCATACATTATGCTTTGAGTTGTGATGTCCCCACAGGGGCATGTCACAGGAATAGCAGAGCAGAAGAAATACAAAAGAGGTACTTCAATTAAGCAATTATAAGAACAGGAAATGCTTGCCATTCACACTTCCTGTTCCTACCACATTTTGTGACATCCACAAGTTGCTCATAATTCCAGACATGCAAGATTATGAAAGAACTCAGTAGCCATGTTCACAAGTTAGTGAATGCATGTACAACTTGCACACACTTAATTTTTTAAAAAATACATGCACTGAGTAAAATGTTTTCATTGAAAAATTCTCATATTACATTCAATACATGTACATGAGATACAAACCTGACATTTATCCAGGCACCAATCTCTGGTTTCAATTGCAAAGTAAATGCACACTGGCTGTTTCTTACCAACAGATGTATGCATTATAAATGCAGGATGTATATGTGTTCAGTTTAACATGTGAATAGGGCTTATTATGACCTAAATGATCTATGTCAAGGGTGTCAAACATGTGGCCCGCGGGCTGAATCAGGCCCTCGGAGGGCTTCGATCTACCCCGCAAAGACCTGGCTGTTTTCTGCTTCATTTTCCAGTTCTACTGCTGCTGACATGTCACAGCTTGCTTTACCAGACTCTCTCAATTGCACAGGAGAGATAGATAGGAAGCCTCTCCTGTGCGATTGAGAGAGTCTGGTAAAGCACTGGCTGAGGCTCCTCCCCCTCCCCCTCCCAAGTGGAAGGAGGGAACGGGCCAGGCTGCTTCAATCCTACAGGAGACAAAGAGAAGCTTTTCTTCCCTTCCATTGGCTGAGGCTCCTCCCTGAAGGGAGGGAGGAAATGAGGGAGAGCTTGCTTTGCTGGGCTGCCTCAATTGCACGGGAGAAATAACAAGCACCTTAGAGACCAACAAAGTTTTTTCGAGGAGAGGAGATTGGATTTATACCCTTCACTACCCAAAGGTGTCTCAGAGCGGCTTACAAACTCCTTTCCCTTCCCCTCCCCACAACAGACACCCTGTGAAGTGGGTGCGGCTGAGAGAGCTCTGACAGAAACTGCTCTTTTTCAATAACAGCTGTGCCAGAACTATGGCTTGCCCAAGGTCATGCAGCAGGTGCAAGTGGAGGAGTGGAGAATCAAACCCAGTTCTCCCAGATTAGAGTCCGTGTACTTCACCACTACACCAAACTGGCTCTCTTCATGAGCTTCAGTGTGCCTTGCTACAGTGTGTGTGTTTTGTTGGGTTCCTTATGCCAGGGCTATCCTGGGTGCAACTGGGTTCCCTCCCCTTTTTCACTGTATTCATGCCCTCATGATCAAGTCATTCTCAGTAAGAAAGCAATGTGAACTATTTTAGAGGAATAACAACAAGCCAGTGAGGGAGATTAGGCTGAGAGTGTGTGTCTAGACCAAGTCCACCCAGCACAGTTCCTTTGTAGGAAATCGTAGTTATTTCTCTGGGAAAGACTATAGCTTTGTAGACAAATATATGGCCCTCAGTCTGTGTCACGATGCCTTCTCATGTTGTTGACCAGCATATGAAGCAACTTATGTACTAAAGCTCGCAATGCCCAGCCATTTCATGGTTTCCCTTGGGTTCTAGGCTCATATCACTGAGCATGAGATTCCTGTAATGAATGTCAATAAATAAAAAGTAGGTTTGCAGCTTACAGATATACAAATACACCCCTGAATGGCATACTGAGAATTGCTACAGCACAGACATTTTGATTCAGAACAAGAGGTGTCAGTTATCAGAGACTGTCAAACAGACAAAATATTGCAAGAGTGCTAATGTTTTATTTAAAGTTTAAAAATCTTTAATTGTGTTTGTCTGTGTCCTTTATAAAGTTTATATCTCCACTACCTGGCATTACATTTTATGACACACATGGCCCAGCCCATCAAGGTCTCATCTATGTCAGATCCGGCCGTCATAACAAATGAGTTTGACAGCCCTGATCTATGTAATAGGAATTTCACACTATCATAAATAACGAAGTCAAGCATAGAGATCTTTCTGTTCTAGTTCAACGGGCGCTTACTAAAGAAGGTTCTCATATATTCTCCATGTAAGTATGTGTTTGGTTACAGTTTCTCCCAGCTTTTACACACATACCCATGTAGATAACAGGCAAAATCTAAAAGCAGCCAAAAGCTATAAAAATCTCAAGAATCCTCCTACCTTTCCAGATACTCTTTCACGTTGTCGTAACCATAGAATTTTGCCAAGTGGATGAGCATCCCTGTAGCACAACGGCCATCACGTTTGCGACAGTAGCTGCAATTGCAGATCCCTCGGCATGGGGGACAGATCCAATCCTTTAAAAAATGATGGGGGAGTGAGATTAATTACATAAAGTCACTTGACAGTGCTTTCTTGCTTAGTAAAAAAACCCAGAAGTTAGCTTCATTCAATACAATGTGTTCTGTTAAGAAATGTATGGTGGCCTACCATGATAGATCTCTCACCATTTTACTAGGCCAAGGATCTATCTATATCCCACAGTCTAAAGGACCAGGTACTTACTGGATCTAGAAGTGAGGATTTCACATCTTCTCCATAGCGATTACGGAGGCACGGCCCACAGAACTGTCCCCTCACTCCTCCACAGCCTTCATTACGACAAACTGTCTTTGTATCAACTGTTTTCTGTCGACACTGATGACATGTACTTCCCTAATGTGGGAGTCAGGGAGAAAGGCAGAGTTACACCAAGAATCAGGCAACTGCGCTCACATTTTAAATTTTACAATGTACATTCCATGAGTAGGAACCATACATGGTAAATACAGTCAGTGTACAGTGCTTAACATAGAATTTTCACACACGGGTTTCCATCCTCCTCATTTTTGTTGATAGTTTCAGTATGATGAAAAGACCCTTTCCATAACAGTCATTATGTAACAGAAATTTCAAACAATGTTTTGTCTTGATAATGTTAATGCACTATATAAAACCAGCGCCTTTGGGATTTGTTAGACAAATGGTTTATAAATATAGCAAATGCACAGCAGCAGGACTTTATCTTATTTCCCGAGCACAAAATCATTGCTTTTGTGTTATATAAAACAAAATTATTGTATGTCCCTTTAAAGTTAATCCAGTTTCACAGCCCCTTGATACATTTTAGAGAACAGTTTTAGAAAAGTTGTTCAAGATTTTGTCAGTACTTAGTATTCCGAAATGACAGCATAAATGGGCAAGTCACTATTGAATCCACTAGCATGTTCCTGCCGGTAGAGAAAGTGATGAATTTGTATTTCAGAAAATGGGCAGCCTTGAGCAAGTTACTTTCCACTTCTACCTTCCCACCTCCAAGCCTTGTGGTTGCTCTGATCTCCAATACATTTTTTTTTGTCTGAGCAAGTGGGGCAGTGTCTTTGTCGCTAAACAGCCCTTTTATGTGGGAAGCCCCATGCATACTGATGCTCTCTTCTCTCTGCATGGGAATCAATGTATTAGCATGGCATCTCTTTAAGAGTTGATTCACATTGTCATTTGTGTCTCCATGCGATACTCCCAGCATATCAATTATTATAGGGATCAATTATTACAGAGAAGTTAAGATCCCAATGGATACAGCTGCCACTTTTTAGCAGCGTCTTCTGCAAATGCAAATGCGTGACATCCTCCACGAATTTGTCCTCGGGAGTCAAAACGAATGCATGAACCAGCTCAGTCTCAGTTCCTTGACAAAAACATTAAGGACTGTCTCTGCCATAACATTTACATGGATTTAAATACATTGGGTTGGATGCTATGATTCTATTCTGAAAAAAACAAACACTCAATTGAAAGAGGCATTTTCTGTTGGAGCAAGACTTTATGCACCACAGGAAGTGTCCTCTATTAGCATAATTTAATCATGATCCAACTAAGTATTTATACTGTAAGTGCATATTCACAGAAGCATCACCATTTGGTGGTGATACATTCAGAGTCAAAATAAATGTAGGTAAAGCTGTAAGCAGGTTGGGTGGTTTTCATCCCATTGTTATGATGATATATACTTTAGCACAGGTCTGAAGGTTTATTTATTCTTTCAGGCTAAGAATGCCTTAGCAGGGTGGATACTTCATTAACAGATACCCTACTGGCTACATTAAGTCCAGTTAATCTTTGAATTATGTTTTTTGAAGAAGACTACGGTATGCCAAGAATAGAGGCAACTAAACTAGCAAAGAATACCGTGGCAGTTCAAACAAATGGGGGGGGGGGGAATCCCCATTCAGTAAATTAACACCTGGACTCAAATCCTACCTAGAATTTCTGTAGGAAGAAGGACTTTTGCAGATTCCCCCTCTGGTGGAAGGCTTCAGATTTCCCTTCAGCCATTCCAGGGCAGGGCTGTTCCCCCAGAGGAGGCATCTTGGATTGCCATGGGAACAGGGAATCAGCAAAAAACACCTCTTGCATTCATGAAATTCCAAACAGGATCCAATCTTTGGTTCTCTTTTTAGGTAATAAAATGGCTAGATATACTAGTTCAATAAATTAACAATCAGCAAAAATCAAGTCATTAAGAAAGAAAATATATACCTACCAAGACCTTATCATAGATTTTATCTTTAACTGTTATTGCAATGTTTTCCAAATCCTCATCAGTAATATCTTCAACTGGTCGAAATGAACAGTATTTTGATGATCGTCTTCTTTTGGGTACCTTCAAACCATCCTAGGGAAGAAACAAGCTCATTTCACCATCTGACCTCAAAGTCAAGGACAGACCAAGAACTTTTACATCCCACTTTTTTTTAAAAAAAAAAATCTTTTAGGAAAAATAACTTTGTACAACCAGAAAGTAGTATTTATCGTATTATTATTCGCTCAGCCCTTCTTTTCCCAACTCAGAACTATCTTCCATGTCCTTCATTTTTGCTTCGACTTCGGATTTATGCAAAATACCCAATCTACTGCTGTATGTATCCCACTGTCTGTCTTTTTTCTTTGAAATATACATCGCTCTTTGGGAAATGTCCATTTCCCCCTTTCTCCACATACACACATCGTTAAAAAACATCACAAGCAACTCGGAATTCTCCTTTTCTTCTGCTCTCAAAACAGAACAGGTTTGTTGTGCTTCTCCTGCTACATTCTTCTTTCTTCATCTGCCACAGTGTCTGTGACACACACTGTTCATTGTTGTAGCTTCTGTGCAGGTACACATGGGACTGTGCAGTTCTAGGCCAATTGCGGGAGAGCTAACAAGCTTTTACAAAGATCTTTCTAGAGCTTTCGAGTGCTCCCCACCCCGTCTCAGTGTATCCCTTTTCCCACCCAAAGGGTCACGTGGTGGGGACGGGGTGAGCACTCTTCCCTCAGTTCTCCTTTTGCCACCATGAGGACAGTGAAAGCCTTTTATTTCTCCATTGCTGCTTCCTATCATCACGAAGGCCTAATGGGGTGTGGAGTCAAAATGGCCGAGAACAATGACCACAAATCCTGCCTACTCTGTTTAGGCAAGGGACACAATACAACTCATGTTTGGCCTGCTATCGCCTCACCCCTAGAGTGAAAGAGGGTAGAGCAGCTAGACTGAAAGCTGCCTTGTGGGAGGAGGCTTTGGGTGCCCTGGACCCCCAAGTAAAAAAACAGGCACAAACCAATAAAAGACCTAGGGCTACTTCAGTAGCATCAGCTCCATCCCCATCAGCCTCGGTACTGACCACACTGCTGGTGCTCACCCATTCGGTGTCAGAACCGCTTTTGAAGATGTCAAAAAAGAAAGCTAAACATCAGGATCAGTCTACCACTCCTTGACACTGCACGTCACCTCGACGTCAGGACTCCACCTCACTTCGATGTCGTATGTCTCTGGAAGCTACAGTCAGCTCCCAGCACAGAGGTCAAACTGCTGATTCAGCGCAGAGCCAACCATTGACTCTGAATAATCATCTTTCCATGTCGCCTTGGCGCCAAGTTTCATTGGTTCGCTCGATCCATCTTTCATCAATACCAAGGACTCCCTCACCCTCCAGGCATCGACATTAATCCCCAGTTCCTTCTAGGCATCGACATCAATCCCCAGTTCCTTCTGATGACAATGTTTATGAGGTTCCTACTCATCAGGACAAACCAAGAGGTGATGAACAACAGGTTCCTCAGCAACCCCCTCAACAACCGTCTTGGTTTCCACTTCCAATGATGTTGCCATCACAATGGCCATCATGGGAACAACAGGGACAATGTGTACCATTTCCCTGGCCTGCCTTTAACCCACAGGACCAGCAAAGGTCCAAAGATAAACATGCACCCAGCCACTTATCCATGGGTGACTCTGCTTCTCTTCTGTCTGAGCCGGAAGAACCAATGGAACCAGACTCAGAAGCCAAATTCAAGTACGAAAATCACAATGGCCATCATGGGAACAACAGGACCAGCAAAGGTCCACAGATAAACATGCATCCAGCCACTTATCCATGGGTGACTCTGCTTCTCTTCTGAGCCGGAAGAACCAATGGAAGCAAAAAACACCTCTTGCATTCATGAAATTCCAAACAGGATCCAATCTTTGGTTCTCTTTTCAGGTAATAAAATGGCTAGATATACTAGTTCAATAAATTAACAATCAGCAAAAATCAAGTCATTAAGAAAACATATACCTACCAAGACCTTATCATAGATTTTATCTTTAACTGTTATTGCAATGTTTTCCAAATCCTCATCAGTAATATCTTCAACTGGTCGAAATGAACAGTATTTTGATGATCGTCTTCTTTTGGGTACCTTCAAACCGTCCTAGGGAAGAAACAAGCTCATTTCACCATCTGACCTCAAAGTCAAGGACAGACCAAGAACTTTTACATCCCACTTTTTTTTAAAAAAAAAAATCTTTTAGGAAAAATAACTTTGTACAACCAGAAAGTAGTATTTATCGTATTATTATTCGCTCAGCCCTTCTTTTCCCAACTCAGAACTATCTTCCATGTCCTTCATTTTTGCTTCGACTTCGGATTTATGCAAAATACCCAATCTACTGCTGTATGTATCCCACTGTCTTTTTTCTTTGAAATATACATCACTCTTTGGGAAATGTCCATTTTCCCCTTTCTCCACATACACACATTGTTAAAAAACATTACAAGCAACTCAGAATTCTCCTTTTCTTTTGCTCTCAAAACAGAACAGGTTTGTTGTGCTTCTCCTGCTACATTCTTCTTTCTTCATCTGCCACAGTGTCTGTGACACACACTGTTCATTGTTGTAGCTTCTGTGCAGGTACACATGGGACTGTGCAGTTCTAGGCCAATTGCGGGAGAGCTAACAAGCTTTTACAAAGATCTTGCTAGAGCTTTCGAGTGCTCCCCACCCCGTCTCAGTGTATCCCTTTTCCCACCCAAAGGGTCACGTGGTGGGGACGGGGTGAGCACTCTTCCCTCAGTTCTCCTTTTGCCACCATGAGGACAGTGAAAGCCTTTTATTTCTCCATTGCTGCTTCCTATCATCATGAAGGCCTAATGGCCTTATTTAAGAAATGCAAGGAGTGTGGAGTCAAAATGGCAGAGAACAATGACCACAAATCCTGCCTACTTTGTTTAGGCAAGGGACACAATACAACTCATGTTTGGCCTGCCATCGCCTCACCCCTAGAGTGAAAGAAGGTAGAGCAGCTAGACTGAAAGCTGCCTTGTGGGAGGAGGCTTTGGGTGCCCTGGACCCCCAAGTAAAAAAACAGGCACAAACCAATAAAAGACCTAGGGCTACTTCAGTAGCATCAGCTCCATCCCCATCAGCCTCGGTACTGACCACACTGCTGGTGCTCACCCATTCAGTGTCAGAACCGCTTTTGAAGATGTCAAAAAAAGAAAGCTAAACATCAGGATCAGTCTCCCACTCCTTGACACTGCACGTCACCTTGATGTCAGGACTCCACCTCACTTCGATGTCGTATGTCTCTGGAAGCTACAGTCAGCTCCCAGCACAGAGGTCAAACGGCTGATTCAGCGCAGAGCCAACCATTGACTTTGAATAATCATCTTTCCATGTCGCCTTGGCGCCAAGTTTCATTGGTTCGCTTGATCCATCTTTCACCAATACCAAGGACTCCCTCACCCTCCAGGCATCGACATCAATCCCCAGTTCCTTCTAGGCATCGACATCAATCCCCAGTTCCTTCTGATGACAATGTTTATGAGGTTCCTACTCATCAGGACAAACCAAGAGGTGATGAACAACAGGTTCCTCAGCAACCCCCTCAACAACCGTCTTGGTTTCCACTTCCAATGATGTTGCCATCACAATGGCCATCATGGGAACAACAGGACCAGCAAAGGTCCACAGATAAACATGCATCCAGCCACTTATCCATGGGTGACTCTGCTTCTCTTCTGAGCCGGAAGAACCAATGGAATGCCATCACCTGACGATACCATCAGAGATCCCTTGGCACTGTCCCTAACTGAATACTGAAACTGTATTCTGAACAGCTGATTTGCATGGCCAAATCCTTGGGCCTCGAGTACATGTCCACAGAACCTCAATCAACAGATCCCATTATGAAGGTCTTATATACTCCAGATCTGAGCCCCATTGCTCTACCTCTACTACAAGGTATCTGTGACATTGCCATGAGTATTCAGCCCAAGACTTCGTCCACCATGGCTTCTGCTAAGAAATTAGGAAATTTATATAAGGTCAGAGAAGATAAAGCCAGCTATCTGTTATATACCTACCAAGACCTTATCATAGATTTTATCTTTAACTGTTATTGCAATGTTTTCCAAATCCTCATCAGTAATATCTTCAACTGGTCGAAATGAACAGTATTTTGATGATCGTCTTCTTTTGGGTACCTTCAAACCATCCTAGGGAAGAAACAAGCTCATTTCACCATCTGACCTCAAAGTCAAGGACAGACCAACAACTTTTACATCCCACTTTTTTTTTAAAAAAACTCTTTTAGGAAAAATAACTTTGCACAACCAGAAAGTAGTATTTATTGTATTGTTATTCGCTCGGCCCTTCTTTTCCCATCTCAGAACTAACTTCCATGTCCTTCATTTTTGCTTCGACTTCGGATTTATGCAAAATACCCAATTTACTGCTGTATGTATCCCACTGTCTTTTTTCTTTGAAATATACATCACTCTTTGGGAAATGTCCATTTTCCCCTTTCTCCACATACACACATTGTTAAAAAACATTACAAGCAACTCAGAATTCTCCTTTTCTTTTGCTCTCAAAACAGAACAGGTTTGTTGTGCTTCTCCTGCTACATTCTTCTTTCTTCATCTGCCACAGTGTCTGTGACACACACTGTTCATTGTTGTAGCTTCTGTGCAGGTACACATGGGACTGTGCAGTTCTAGGCCAATTGCGGGAGAGCTAACAAGCTTTTACAAAGATCTTTCTAGAGCTTTCGAGTGCTCCCCACCCCGTCTCAGTGTATCCCTTTTCCCACTCAAAGGGTCACGTGGCGGGGTTCCCACCCAAAGGGTCACGTGGTGGGGACGGGGTGAGCACTCTTCCCTCAGTTCTCCTTTTGCCACCATGAGGACAGTGAAAGCCTTTTATTTCTCCATTGCTGCTTCCTATCATCACGAAGGCCTAATGGGGTGTGGAGTCAAAATGGCCGAGAACAATGACCACAAATCCTGCCTACTCTGTTTAGGCAAGGGACACAATACAACTCATGTTTGGCCTGCTATCGCCTCACCCCTAGAGTGAAAGAGGGTAGAGCAGCTAGACTGAAAGCTGCCTTGTGGGAGAAGGCTTTGGGTGCCCTGGACCCCCAAGTAAAAAAACAGGCACAAACCAATAAAAGACCTAGGGCTACTTCAGTAGCATCAGCTCCATCCCCATCAGCCTCGGTACTGACCACACTGCTGGTGCTCACCCATTCGGTGTCAGAACCGCTTTTGAAGATGTCAAAAAAAGAAAGCTAAACATCAGGATCAGTCTACCACTCCTTGACACTGCACGTCACCTCGACGTCAGGACTCCACCTCACTTCGATGTCGTATGTCTCTGGAAGCTACAGTCAGCTCCCAGCACAGAGGTCAAACGGCTGATTCAGCGCAGAGCCAACCATTGACTCTGAATAATCATCTTTCCATGTCGCCTTGGCGCCAAGTTTCATTGGTTCGCTCGATCCATCTTTCATCAATACCAAGGACTCCCTCACCCTCCAGGCATCGACATTAATCCCCAGTTCCTTCTAGGCATCGACATCAATCCCCAGTTCCTTCTGATGACAATGTTTATGAGGTTCCTACTCATCAGGACAATCAAGAGAATATCTTGTTGGGTACACAAGAAACTGCAAGTTAAAACACTTGTGACAGTAGCTGGAAACTGCAGAGCTCAGGGAATGTTATGCCTACAGCTGGTGACGTCATGACGTAAGTGATCAGGCCTTCCATCTTTAGAGGGTGGTGGCTGTTCCCCCAGAGGAGGCATC